CCATCCACTCATCCTTCCATCCATCCATCCATCTGTCCGTCCATCCACCCATCCATCTGTCCATCCATCCATTCACCCTTCCATATATTCATCATCCAACTATCCATCCTTCTAACTGTCCATCCATTCATCCATCCACTCATCCATCTGTACATTCATCCATCCATCCATCCTGTGAAATCTTATGCTTTTCAATTTCTTTAAAAAATGTCTTTATTGATCTTGATTTTTAGAGAGAGAGGAACAGAGAGGGAGAGAGAGATAGAAACGTCCATGATGAGAGAGAATCATGGATCGCCTGCCTCCTGCACGCCCCCTATTGGGGATTGAGCCTGTGGGAATCGAACCAGCGACCACTTGGCTCATGGGTTGGTGCTCAACCACTGAGCCACACTGGGTCGGGGCTCAATCTCTTCTTCGTACACGACTACGGGACGGAAATAGCGATTTTTTTGTCAGGTGCTCAGACTTTTCGTGTTGTTCATCGCGTTTGATACGCTGTAGGTACCGTAGCTCAACGCGAGTAGAAAAAAATCTTACATCTTCCAACATCAAAAGAAATGTCATAGGTGTTTGCTTGTATTTTAGGGATCCTTTTGGGGAGAGGAAAGGGGGTGATTAGGGCATATGACTGTCGTCGGACTCCGTGACAATGAATGTTTTGTAGGACTTGTAGACTTGGCCATGAGTGTGCGAACCAAACAGTGAACACATCCCTGGCAACCTGGAGCTCATGAGGAGGACTCCCTAAAAATGCCAAATGTTCAGGCTTCCATTATGGATTGGGGTCTACGCCTCCAAAGACAGAGAGAGTTGAAAGCAACAACTATTGGAAAAAAAGAACTTGAAGCTAATGATCATGATAGAAAAATGGTAAAGTAGGGGGCGGGATAAATGGTGAGGGAAGGAGACTTGAGTTGGGTTGGTGGACGGACAAATGCCATATCCAGATGATGTGTCATAGAATTGTATACTTGAAACCTGTATAATTTTTTTAACCCAATGTCACCCCCGTAAATTCAATAAAAAATTAAAAAAATGAAAATGGCAAAAAAAATTGTTACAAATCTCTGTATGTTGATCAATAAAGACAGCCATGATAGATAGGTTAGATGAACATGGTGAATTAAGACGGCGTTTGTAGGTTTAGTTATGTGCTTGGGGTTTGCGTGGGGGGGAAATCTCTGACGTTTCTTTTATAAAATAATTTATATTAAAAATACACACACACACACACACACACACACACAGAGAAACCACAATAACAAATGATCCCGATGAGATGTCTTAAACAGAATCCCATATCTCACATCCCCCGCCTCAAATGTCAGTATTGCTGAGGGCAAGAAATTCTGTCTTAGTGTGAGGGACTTTGTCTTTTAGTCTGTCTACCCATCCATCCATCCATCCATCCATCCATCCATCCATCCATCTATCCATCCATCCATCCATCCATCCACTCATTCTTTCATACATTCATCCATCCACCTATCCATCCTTCTATCTGTCCATCCATCCATCCACTCGCCCATCCATCCATCCATCCATCCATCCATCCATCCATCCATCCATCCATCCATCCATCCATCCATCCATCCATCCATCCATCCATCCATCCATCCATCCATCCATCCATCCATCCATCCATCCATCCATCCATCCATCCATCCATCCATCCATCCATCCATCCATCCATCCATCCATCTGATCCCGATCAGATGTCTTAAACAGAATCCCATATCTCACATCACCCGCCTCAAATGTCAGTATTGCTGAGGGCAAGAAATTCTGTCTTAGTGTGAGGGACTTTGTCTGTCTTTTAGTCTGTCTACCCATCCATCCATCCATCCATCCATGCACTCATCCTTTCATCCATCCATCCATCCATCCATCCATCCATCCATCCATCCATCCATCCATCCATCCATCCATCCATCCATCCATCCATCCATCCATCCATCCATCCATCCATCCATCCATCCATCCATCCATCCATCCATCCATCCATCCATCCATCCATCCATCCATCCATCCATCCATCCATCCATCCATCCATCCATCCATCCATCCATCCATCCATCCCTCCCATTCATCCATCCATCCATCCGTCCATCCATCCGTCCATCCATCCATCCATCCACCCACCCACCCATCCATCCACCTATCCATGCATCCATCCGTCCATCCATCTGTCCACCCTTTCACCCATCCATCTGGTGGTTGGAGACCTGGGAAGCCATTGGACACCCTGCGATGCCCAGCAAAGACGTCCACTCTCTGGAGAACACGTCCCAGGATGTGCCCGGCCTGGCCTGACCTGTGCTCCTGGTGAGACGTGGACACAGAGGACCCCAGAGGTTTCATTGGCTCAGCTTGTGGAGAAAGATGTGCGGCCAAGTGGCCGAGAGGGAGCTGCCCAGAGGGAGGGAGGCGGGGTGGCCCTCTGCCTGGCTAACCAGCTAGGGAACAACTCGAGGGAGAGACGCCATGCCTCGCGAGGGTGCAGAACGGATTGCGTTCACTGGATTTCATCTCTGAGGGTTCCCTGCAGACCTCCCCGAGAGACAAACCTCGAAGAGGCTACAGGCGATCCTGGAGGGTGGAATGCTCGCTCCCATCTCTTTATTGGGGGGCCTGGCAGGGGGTTCTCCTCGCTCCAGCCCCGAGCTGGCTCCCACCCAGGCTCTCTCTTGCGACAGGACAGTTTCTCAATCCTGTGTGATTAGTGGAGACATT